GGTGGGGGGGGGGGGGGGGGGGTATATGTATATAGATAATCAATGTATTGTGGCTTTGAGTGTCCAACTGAAGTATTACGAAGGAGTTTGATGCAGCATGCCGTCAGTGAAGTTTTCGGGAGCAATATTGTTTCTCCGTAGAGACAGTGAGTCAATGGTTTCAGCAGTTCAGTGGGATGCATCCGAACCATTATGCTCCAACGCACAACAAAACCCCAGTCTGCAAATATGTGCTTGCAGCGTGAACACACAAAACACTAAGGCTGACGGTTTGAGCAACATGAGTTCAAGGGGATGATTCAGCTGATTCACGTTTTAGCTTATGGCAGTGATTCCATAATCATCTTTAATGAGAATAGCCAAATGCGTCTGTCCTCTAGAAGGGGTCAGGTTAAGGATAAGCATGTTGGAACACCATCAGTTTAACCAATTTGAAATGGTGAAATCCCTATCATACATGACCATCACTGATCTGAGGTGAAAGCACACAGAGTCTGCAAGTCTCTGTACAGAAATAGTAAAAATGCACAGAAAAGTTCAAACCTATATTGAGGTTTGAAGGTCTTGCACATCTGATTTATAATTTGAACTGCAATTGTGTTAAATGACAGAACTGGTATCACCTGAATCGTCTGGGTCTCTTGTTTCATTTAACATCAACACAAAAGTTTCACCTACATTTAAAAACAAAGAAGAATCACATCTGACCAGAAAAGGGGGGGATGTAGCACTTTTCAACTTCTACTAGACCAACAAAGATTGCACAAAAGTGTACAAGCCACATTTGTGACACCTGAACACAAACAGTGTCAGTTACGAATTGTTAGCCTGTGTTTCATGTTGTTGACATATTTGTATTGGCATATGACATTTTGGTTTGCTGTTCATAACTTACAATTTTTTGTTTACCATTTGGAATTAAAATGCAAGTCATAATTATTTTAAACAACTATATTTGATTACCACAAAAAAAAAATCTAGGCACAAAATCTAAAATATCAATGATAGTGTGCTTTACACAGTTTAGGGACAAACTGTACCGCAAAAACACTGAGCTGCGGGCTTTAAAATGAAATTCATTACAACACTCCCCTACTACGGTCTAGCACCTGCACAAGAAACATGTGAAATCTGATTAAAACAAACCATGCAATGGAATCTCACAGGTTTAATGGCAACTTCTCTTGTGTTTATAACCTGAACCTTGGATGAATGGGGTGTGCAAAAAGGCATGGCCTAAATATATATGACAATTCAGGTGCAACTGCCTGGGTACACTGATCGCACAATACAGCCAAAGACATACAAATTCTCTTCCAGCTCCATCACTAGTTGATAAATGTAGTGTGCTTATATGTCAAAATATTATAATTGGCTTCTCTATAACAGACCTAAACTATTTAATAATAGAGAAACCAAAGATGGTGTAGGAAATTAAAGATGTGAGAGGCACCTGTGATCATCAAAGCGTTGTGATCAGCTCGCGGACACACCTCAGTATTCCTACCTAAGGAAACAAAATACGCGAGCATACTTTCACGTGCTCGTTCGCCACTCGCGCATTTTGTCCGCGAGAAGCTTCTGCGCGAGCTTCACAGTACTTACATGCCAAAAGGAACGTCGGCCTCCGTCGCAACTCTTCACGGCTTTTAAGGGTTTTATCCTCTCAAACGCTTGACAGAGGCCAGAGCAGCGTCATCGCCGGCCTAGCTTGCAACTCTCATCCTCGACCGCGAAATCCGCGTTCGCGTTTGACACCGATAAACTGCGCACAAACGATCATGTCTGTCAAAATAAATGCGTGCGCGCGCCCCGGCACTTGACTACGGAATGCCGGTCGCTTATAATCAATAAACGAGAAAACGCGGACTCGCGTCAGAAACAACCACGACGAAGCGACAGAAGCAGAAAACAACGGATTTTGCGCACGCACCTACGTCGCGCTTCAATTAAAGGTGAACAGCTTCTAAAAGGCACCGTGACACATTTAGGAAAGCGCAAAATATACCAACGTCACTGACATGCCCGAGGCAGCGCTGAGGTGCCGGGTATCCCCCTCTGTCGAGCGCTTGCTCCATCTCTCCCGTTTCCATAGCACTGGAACGGTGCGAGTCTCTCCGCGCGGGCGGACGGATAGCGGCGTGAGGGGGAGCGTCCATTAACTCGCAGCCTCCCAGGTGAATAACACGAAGAATACTTCACGTTGTCGAGATGTCACATCGCGCTTTCATGACCTCTATTCAGCTCGTGTATATCCACCCCCTCCTCTCCCCCAACCTCCTTTTTTCGTATCCGTTAACAGAGACCGTCGGTAAGCCAAAGAATGGCGCTCACGGGAGCATCACAGTCAGCCTCACCTTCATCATCCTCAGGGTCAGTCCTGGTCTTGGATCCTTGTCCTTTCCGCAGGTTCGAGCCCCCGACGCCAGCTGCAACCCTGTATCCGCGCCCCCGTGTGCAACGCGCGGTTTATGGAAGAGAAACGCACGTCCGTTCTGTTCTCACGGCGAGGTGGGAGTCAGTCAGTCTCTCTCCCTCTCTCTCTCTCTCTCTCTCT